CAATATTAAATATTACCCCTTTAGCATTCTTGCCCTTCACGTCGGCTTGTTTCTGCATTAGGCACCGCACCACTTGAAAATGGCCATTCGAACATGCCTCGTTTATTGGAGTCCACTAAAATCTGACAAAAAATGCTTCCAAAACAGCCAAACTGCTACACAAAAAGATTTTTCTTGCATTTTTATGATGAAAATATTAACTGTTTTTAATCCCGCAACATTACTCACAGATTCTTACAATTAATACAATGCAATCCTCACTCAAGATTTCTTCAAAAGTAGTGTCTAAGAAAAAACAATGGACGGGTATTAATATCAATAAGAGTATTAATATCTTTAATGCTTTCACATTCCGTTAACAACTCAAGAAAGAGTAGTAGCAGTATGTTTTTCAAAGGTTCAACGCTTAAGAGCATAGAAAGTTCAGTGATGTTTGGTAAATACTCAACAATGGATTTATAATACCAGAAGCAATTCTAAGCGAATCGCTTTAAACTTTTTAGTCTGTGATGTTGTGTTGTATTTCGATGCAAAAACGTCCCAAAGTACGATTGGCAGCGACATTAAATTCCAAAACTTTCGGACGTGTCAAATAGATCAATGCGCCCTAGCAACGCCGATCTCGAAACGCCTTAAGGTTTACGATTACCCCGCAAGTTTTAAAAAGACAGTCAAAGGGAAGGTGACGATATTACTTTTTGTTGGATCCAGAAGTTAATATCTTTTTTTGGGACTTCACTGATTTCACTCTGGTCATCCGCTAAGATATCGCCTTTTTCCTCCTGTTCATCCATTATGTTGTTTTAGTTTTCGCTATTGTTTTCCACCTGTAAATGCAGTCAACCTTGACAAGCGAAATATGAAAGTTCAAGAGAGCAAAAGTTAAAAAGGTATGCTTCTTGGCACTATTGTTTTAGAAGACTGGAATTGATGAATAAAAAGTATTTTAAAAGCAATTGTTTTAGTAGCTCGTAAAGATCTGTAAATTAATCCGTAAATTATTTGTTTTGGTTGAAAGTACCAAAGTGACTGTGGATAAGACGTAAGTGAAAGCTGAAATGAATTATTCGAATGTTCAATTATTCGACGTGACAATGTCACCTAGTGAATGATGGTGGTGTAAAGTGATACGTTTGTTATGCGTATGATAAACTCTTATCAGTAAGTAGTAAACTTCCTTAACATACCTTTGTGATAATCAAGCTTCTTCCCTCTTCAGTTCAATAAGGCATGATGTACAGCCACTGCTGTTATTCTTGTCTCGGTCTTGCAGAGCTTTTCAAGACTTATCTGAAACAACATATTCTCCAATTATTAGAGATTGCAAATATTTTGGCTTCTGATTCATAAGTTTCATTCTAATCAAACCTGAAGCAGATGGTATATGAAATGATTGAAAGATTTTGATATATAAGACACTATACTTCCTTTTGCTATTGTAGTTTTATAGTAGATTTCGCTTGAAAACCTACTAGTGCACCGTGTTCGTTCCCCGAATATAGAAATAAACTTTTGATTGGTCGTGAAATTAGTATTCGCCTAAGCCAGTTTAAAAAGGCATTTTAGCCGCATTTCGTTCTTCTTGCTTTGAATTCCATCTCTTTCCAAAGGAACTCGTGTTCCTTTAAACGTGATAATCAGACAGATTTCAAGTTTCTTACCGGACTGCAGTGCGCTCAGCAATAAATTTAAAACTGTCGAGCATTTCCACTTCAACCTAGCTCCAAAAAAAGCTTTTTCTGACATACATAACACCCTAAATTTTAACGATGTAGATATTGGTGTCATTAAGAAAAGAAAAGGTATGGATGGTGTAGTAACGAACCAAAATTCACAACATTCTCATCACTCTCTCAAATTCCGGATCTCTTTATAGCACGAAATGTTGATATCTTTTTTGGAGGTGCGAGACCTTTAACTTCCCAGTGTTCAATAAGAATATAGGATGAATCAAATGCTCATTTCTGTGCTTCCGCTGACAGCAAGAAAAGACAAATTAGAACCAGGTGAGTTCACTTTCAAGCTATGCAAGAAGTCACCAGTATACTTGTTTCTTGCAGTTATCCACAACACGTTGATGATGAAGAGCAATCCAAGAGGGGGAGTTGCTGAATAACTAAATTAAATCGGTAATTCTCACTGCGTCCAAAAAAAAAAATAAAAAAACAGTGGAACTCAAAAAATCTTCACCCGAAAAATCTACGAGAGTTCCTAACTTCTAATAAACCTAGTAGACCGAATATTTGAAAAAGGCACAAGAATTTCTGTGAGCTTTATTAGAACAGCTAAATAAATGTACGAGCACTTCTTACAGAACTGAAGTTTAATACTGTATCGAAAAATTTGTTTGTTAACTGATCAGTCTCTGAAGCACCTAGTTTACAAAAACGATCCCTTTTTTTTTGATTGAGCACTGACCAGTCGATAACAACAGCATCGATCTGACAAAAAATTGCGCTTTAGAGATATTGAATGTTAGGGCTCAGAACTGTTAAAATAAATAAAGACACTGGGAAGAAAAGAAAATGGTTTGCCTGTCTTTCTTAGAAAGCATATCTTGTACTGTATGCTTCTAAAATGATATAGAATTAGGAACGATTCTGAGACCTGGTATCTCGAATGTCATGTCTCATCTGTGCGTTGTATTAGTGTAGAAAGTTAAGACCAGTTCCGCAACGAAGTTTTTGCAGTTATTTTGTTCATATTTTGACACAATTCAATTAGGGAACCATTCGCATAAAATACTTTACAGAAATACTGATGGCAAGTAGAAAAATATATATATATATATTTTGGTTTTTGAAGGGATAGATAATAGGGCTGACACGAGAATGTCCTCAAGAGCAAAACCTCTATTTGAAACGACTGCATTCCAAGCGTTCTCCTTCTATTCCCCTTCGGTGACTCTTCTCAGCCAAGTTATTTTAGAAGATGAGCCAAATGTCTGTAGAAGGGCAAATAATGGTTACAGTCTAGTCTTTCAGGTTTTACATGCTGATTTCCTTGGTTTTCTGTAACAAAAAAA